TTCATTGTCTCAAGCTCTTCAAAGGAAAGATGAAGACATCTTGGAAGCTATTGATTTGATAGGAACAACCAAAGGTCAATTACAAATGTTGAGGGAAAATGGGTTTGATCAAGTTTTGGAGAAATGCTACTCTTTTTGTGATAAACATAAGATTGTGAAGTTGGATATGGCTGAAGCTTATGTTAATGCAAGAAATTCAAGGAAAAAGGTGAACATTACCAATCAACATTATTATAACTATGATATATTCAACACTGTTTTGGATATGCAAATCCGAGAGTGTGGTGATCGTTTTGGTGAGATAAGTACCGACTTGCTTCAAAATATGGCGGCTTTGAATCCACGCAATTCATTTTCTCAATTTAACAAATCAAGCCTATTGAAGTTGAGTCAGATGTATCCCCGAGATTTTGAAGACAAGGAAAGGATCATTCTTGAGCATGAACTTGATATCTACTATCATTCTGTTTATAATGATGTCAGATTTGCCAACTTAAACGGTATTGCCGACCTCGCCAGATTAATGGTGGCAACAAGAAAGCATCTTTCTCATCATTTAGTCTACCGGTTATTGAAACTGACACTGGTTTTGCCTGTTGCAACTGCTACGGTTGAAAGATGTTTTTCGGCGATGAAGCTTGTCAAGACAGATTTACGTAACCGAATTGGTGATGATTTTTTGAATTCTGCCCTCATTTGCACCATAGAAAAGGAAGTCCTTAGTAATGGTAAAGACGAAGATATCATCGATCGTTTCCAAAAGATGAAGACACGCCGAGGACAAATTTAGGAGTTGTTTCTCAACATACTTTTTGTAATTATTTTTTGGTATATATTGACCGTTTCCAAAAGATGAAAATGCGTCGGGTACAAGTTTAAGAGTTGTTTATCGGTACCATAAAAACCATATTTTTTGTAATTATTTTTAGATGTATATTATATTATATTAATTATATGGTGCCACCGTATGGAAAATTTTCTGGGTATTGATGGCCTCCGATGTTTCACCATAGCCTCCATCAATGACGCTTGCCAACTCCTTGGAACTCATTTTGGTTAACAAATCAACGATATATATCACTAGCATATATCTTTTCATTAAATACAAATCACTCTGTTTTTCTTTTTAAATTTTACAAAATAATAAAATCTTAAAAACAATAACTTAAAAGACGGAGACGATGATACTTTCCGATCATAACCATAAATATCAAAATCATATCCCTACAAAATGGCACATACTCGTAATAAGAATATAATTAAAATAATTAATTGAAAAAGTTGTAACGACCCTTTATAGAATTATATTAATAAGGAAAAAATTAGATATTTAAATAAATTCAAAGGTTATGGTTTGTAAAGATTATTAAAATTGTGTGGTTTACAAATGAAACGCATAAAAATATATATATATATATATATATATATATATATATATAAATATATATATAGGGGTGGGTTTAAATAAAAACCATTCAATTTGTAAAAACTGTGAAAACCTCATTCAACCAATCATAATTTTTTATTTTGTTCATTTTTTTTGTAATTATGAGAGGTTGATTAATCATTTTTATTGTGGAGGGTGTTAATCATGGATATTATCATCTTCATTATTTTAATTTTAAAGAAATAAATGAAATAGTTTCATTAAAATTTCATTAAGTAATATATGAAACAATTTCATAACCACATATGAAACAACTTCATCAAAAAAAGCAATATGTATCTACAAGTCTTGTAGTCAAAGGAAGTTGTCTTGGAATGGAAGTGCTTGACTTTATGCTATACTAGGGTTCTTTACTAATTCAACATTAATAATGGTGTTTCTCATAGTTTTTTTTCCATTCAAATGTATGATAATTGCTAGAAAGATGACATTGTTGTAGGTCATTTTGACCACTTATTGGTAGATTTCACATACAACTTTTATTTTTTCCATGTTGACTTTGTTGTCTATAACCGAACGAACGACACTTGAGCAATTTTAATCACTAAGGGGTCGTTTACTAAACGCTTACTTGGTAARTGTTTATCGGATAAATTTATTATCGGATGAACATGAAAAGGGCCAATAGTCTTAGCGGGTAAGARYKATGAGAATGATAKAGATTCTTACCCTATAATGGAGGATGGAGACTCTTACMCAGGTAAGTGCCAACTCAATAATTTGTTGCATTCGACATGTTTTGATGTACTAAATTYTTATGCATCAAAATAAATGATAGTATTAATTCATATTGACAATTGCTTACTGGGTAAGCATTTGAGTAAACGGTCCCTAAGAGTATTTCCTTTTCGTATACTTGGTCAATTGATAACTTTAACCTTGATTTTTTTAATATATAAATCGTTATTCAAATTAAAATTTCAAAAGCCAAAATAAAACTGGAACGAATGGAGGATAGAACAAAACATCATTTAGATTTCGACTTCTCGACTTCAAAATTTCAATGGTAGGTGTTTATCTATTAGAATCGGTATTCTTGTACGACAAACTTTATGTGACATTGTTCAGAGGGATATCAGGTGGTAATACAAAAGTATTAGTGAAATCTATCAAAAAGTTCAATCAACAAAAGAGTCTTACACATCAAATGTGGCGTATCAAGAAGTTTTGAATGATAATTATGATAAAAACATGATTCTAATTTTTTMTTTGTTTAAACATATATTTTAGAATTTTTGAATGAGAAATTGTATTAAATTTTCATTTTTGGATTTATGATACAACTTTTGAACTTCCATGTATTTCAAAKATATTTTGCAAAAAAATGATATTTAAAAATTGAATATATCTTGATAGAACATTTACATCCCGCCGCATTGCGCGGGTAGACAACTAGTATATATATATATAATTTATAATAATAAGATTAACATTTACCAACCTTTGTTTCAACCATTACACTATGCTTAAATTATTGTAATATTTTTTATATGTAGTTAATAGTATTTTATATTCATTATGTAAAGCAGACACTGATATTTATTTGAACACTTAAAAAAATAATTCAAGGAAGATTCCTTATTCATTAGTTATTGTTTATTTTAGATCATATTCGTTGAATTATTAGAATACGATTTTCTGAAATAAATAATTTGATGGTCTAACAATCCTTGTCAGATTATTAATCTATAAATTATTAAATTCACTATTTATATATTTTTTTCCTCATATTTAGATTACGAGCAAATCACAAAAATCATCCCTGTGGTTTATGAAAACTTTGGTTTTTGCCACTTAACTTCATAAAATACACCTATAACCTTGTCGTATGCATTTCATTTTGTGGAGAGAAATTTGCATAGATGGACTAAGAATGACAAAGCCCTAGCCTATCTACAAACCCTCGCTACTTCTACCATGACTTAGGCCATTTGGATAGTCGCCCGTGTTCAAACCAGGGCAGAGCATCTCATAGCTTATGTGGCTAGCATTGCGGCCATGCCCAAGGGGAATGCTACATGAATGTTTGGTCCAACTCCAAACGGTCATGTGACTCCATGGTCAAAGGCAAGTTGTGCAGCCATTGTCTTTTAGCAAAGATCATGTTAGTGCTGGCAGATGCTGGGGGGGGGGGGATTGTTGGGTTATTAACCATCATCTTTCTAAATCGAAATATGGCGCTGGCTGCTACGCTATAAGCAAATAAGTTACGTCTTCTCCATCAGCAACTGCTTTAGCATAGTTGTAAGCACTTGGATCCTGACACTTGTACATTACAAGATTTTTGGATGTAAAGTAGAAAGTGTGGAGAAGTATAGTCTACTACAGCTTTGAGGTTGAAAGATAAGATGGAAATGTGTATGATTTCTCTGAAGCTGATTTTCCAAACTTACATCTTCAAGACATGTTTCAAATCTACACTAAGTTAGCACCTTATGAAGATAAAGTTGCAAAGTTCAGGAAAGGGCTAATAACAATCTATTCACGGAATTCTAAGAACAACCATTTAGGATGGAAGGATATATTTTCAAATTGCTCGTCTTGAAAAGAGAAAAGGTGTACTTGCTAACTCATGTTACTTATCTAGATGGAGAGGATCTACACACAGGAACTGTCATTTGTGATCCAGCTGGGTATATCTGCAAGAATTCTCAAGAAAAATTGCTCTTCAGAATTAATGATGTGCAAAAATACAGTTCTGGAACCTTGAAGCAGATCCATAAATCTCTTGGGAAAAGGCTAAATAGAAGATCAAAGATAGTAAGCAAAGAGGAATGCCCCAAAGTGAAGAAGTTGATCATCTGGATGAGATAACACATAGAAGCTCAATTGAATTAAGAAGTATCATTCTAGAGAGGTTCATTTCAATGTAAATTGATAAACAATTTCAAACTTGAAGCAAAGGGGGAGATTGTAGAACTGATAGAAGATTGCTTCAATTCTCTAAGCTTTCAGAGATCTGGAATTCCAAAATTCAGAGTTCGGAAGATGAACTAAATTGTCAAAGGACTAAATTTGAAGAGTTGTCCCAAGAACTCTGAAATTCAAATTTCAGAGTTCAAATGAAGAGAGAAAGAGACTAAGCCATAAGTCTGAAGAGTTGTATTTCAGAGTTAAAAGATTAACTATGAATGATCAACTTAGAGTTAGAGATAGAAAACTTTCAGATCAAAGGATTCTCATAAACAAATACTTCTTCTATGATACTAGAACACATGTCAATATGTAATTAGCTTGTCATGTAAATCATGTAATTGTCTCTTTCCCGTTCTAGTATAAATAGGAGTTAGTTAGATTGTGTAAGAAACAATTCGAAACTTCAATTGTATAGATTTCTCTCTTCAAATTCAATTGTAAACAATCTTTGATATTCAATATACATTATGATTGCCTTGATCCAGTAGTTCTCTTGTGTTCATACATTATTGACTAAGATTCATACTTTGGGACTTACACTAGTGTTTGTTGAAGTTTAAGGATAATGATGATGGTTGCTCGAGAGTTCGAGGGATATAAGAGAAAAACATGTAGTGGTTGGATTCTAGTGTATGTCCATATTGATCAGAGTTTGAAGGAACAACAATGGTTTATCGAAGAGAAAGGGGAGGGGAGGGGAG